GTAAACCACGCTTGTAAGATTTCCGCTACGTTTCTTTAAAATTTGAACAAGTGTGATTTAAGTGTGATTTTAAAGGATGATTTATCAAATTGATTGTATGAACTATTAAGTTTCTATATTTGTTCAATGTTTAAAATCTGTTTTATTTATGTCTAACTTAGTTGTTAGATTAAGTTTAAGTAAACAGATTTTTAAAGTAGATAAGTTAGTAGCATCCCGAGTTAAGAAGGTTTCGAAAAATTTATAAGTATTTTCGAAATAAGTTGCGAAAAATTTACTCTGATAAGCGGGGTGTTACAGACACACCCTCAAAACACAACTCCAAAATAACGACAATAACTCCATATATGAGACAAGATACATACATAGATGGACTAAGCAAAACAAAACACACCAAAAGGTATAAAAACAAAACAAAAAATGACACACACTTAAATAGAATAATACTTCCCCTACACCTAGCAAACAGACCAGACAACTAGCCAAACCGGCACCCAGGTAAAAAAAACCAACACATAAAACCAACGAAAATCTGAACCTCATATACAAAAACCCAGCACAAAATACCATTGAACATGTTTTCTTCCATTGTTTTAGAGCAAGTTTTATGTGGAATATTGGGCCAGATCAATGGGATGAAATCTGCAATTCTGATTGCTCTTTCAATTCTTGTGGTGGCAAATGTGTTTAATTGAACATTCAGAAGTTGCTGAAGCAAGGATCCAACTACCTGCGCAATTGCTCTGGAAATAATGAAACTTGTGGCTATTTGAAAATTCAAATCTTCCAGTTCATATGGTGGTAAAAGCAGCACTAAAGAAGTAGTCTAGTTTTGTGCTCAGAAGTCCTAACTTTTCAAGTTTTAGTTTAGTCTAATGTCTTTTCTGGTTGTTCTTTTTTTTTTTTTTTTTTTGAATTTTTGATGTTGCTTTTAGGAGGAGGTCCTAGCTAGGCGGTTGTAGCAGTTGTTAAGTTCTTCTTCTTTTAGTCTTTGTATGTGTGTTGGTGGATAGACAAAGGGATCATATTTATGCCTTAACTACAAGTTTGTATCTCTAGGCCGCTTTCATGCGTGTTCTTCTAAGTTGCTTTTCTTTCATGGTAGTTCAGTTTTGCTCTATATTCGAGCTTTGTTCCGTTTGAGTTTTTATGGGCATGATTGTTTATAAACTAGAATCCAATTTAACTAGTTTTATACTAATAAAGTGAACTACTAAAACAAGTTTTTAACTAGATAAAGCTATCTGCTCCATGTGCCCCACCCTCCTCATTTCACATGTTCTGCATGTTGTACATTGTCTTGTCGACCACACACTGCAAAAGTTGATTACATTATTAAAAAAAAATAAAAAAATATTTTACTTCCCATGCAGTAATACAAAAAAGTACCATTCCCATGCAGTATTTCCTTGTATTTATTTTATTTTTTCACGATTCCACCAGATTTCTTTAGGGAGAAACAGTGCATGGTTATTTTTAATTTGTCATTGGTGGCTTGGTTTGGAACATTCCCGCGTCTGGGTCACAAAAATAAAAATTGGATACAAATGATTTTGGAATTTCAAAATAGAAAATTCATTACATAACACATTGTGATGGAGGTACAAAAACACTGACATAAAAAAAAATGCGGGACCACAACAACGAAGGGAACAACAATTCAAGACCTAATATATTTTAGAACAACTATAAGACATAAAATTCTGAAAATAACCCAAAATAATAAAAAACAAATTGGACAAGCGATTAGAAATGTTGTGAGACAAGTAGATGAGGGTGTGTTCGTCATGGAGTTTGTCGTTATCGTCGACGCATCTCCAAAATATGAAATATGGTCACTTTGTCTGCTACTTTCTGCACCATATCGTGTAATACCGCGAGTTTTGAAACTCTCTTGTGAATAACCTTCTCGGTTCAAATCAGTTGCCCATATGAAACTTCTATGGTGTTGTTGGGCGATCGGACATCGAAAAAAACACTTACCATAATTATTTTCGGTACGTGCCATGAAACGCTTCATAGTACCGCGGCCACAATAACACATTGGCGGTTGTGGGAACATCTTATATATATATATATGTATGTGTGTGTGTGCGCATATATTTATCACTCTTATTTTTATAAGGGAAAATGTATTCCCTTTGTAGTGCCGCCACGTGGCGGATGTTCTCACTTTGTTGTTCTGCCACGTCGCACAATTGTGCTGTTTTGAAGGCCTTTTCCTTTTCAAACGACACTGTTTTCAGGCCCTCTTTCTTTCTTTCTTACTTTTTGGATTATTATAGTCATTGTATTTGGGACAGATTGAGTGATTGATTGACAACAAGCTTCTTTCACACGCCATTTCACTCTCTCCTCTTCTCGCCTCTGAATTTCTACCATAGAGACAGAAGAATTTCTACCATAGAGGCAGACAAAACCCAAAGCCGATGATTTTTTTTCATTTCTCTAAAATTTCAACATAGAGGCAGACCCCAAAACCGATGACGGAAGAGAATCTCGAGCAGGTTCTTCAAGTAGCCGAAACTCGCTAGTGTGTCGATGTCGGGCTAGGGTTTTGGGGTGGTTCCTCTACACCCAGAGCGCCGCCGTGTAGCCGCCTTCCCTATCTGATTTTCTGGTGCCCCGTACCCCACGGAGTTTGCAGACAACCTTCAGGCTTCAGCGTGTCATACTCCCATGTAAGCTTCAAGCACTCGGTCAGTGTCTTCGGCAGCTTGTTGGGGACGACATGGAAGAAGAAATCAAGGCAGGGTGAAGAAGATTGGCGTGTCTGTGAGCGGTGGCAACTGGTGGCTTTTGGGCGGATGACAGACAACGTGACTACACGTTGCGGCGGTCTGCGGCTCGAATTCAGGTGTTCGTGGATTTTATCTTTAATTTAATTTTTGACTGTTTTTGTAACAGAAAAAGTTGTCTTAACAGGGGTGTTCTCGGTCAAAATTGATTTAAAACCATACCAGGTAACCTCAGAGGCTCTATCACTGGAAGAAGTGGAATTCGCCTCCAGCAACGAGCCGACCCGACATTCAACTGCGGCGAGCAAGGTTTGTTTCTCCACACCTATAATCTTTATTTCTTTTACCGTCGTTTGTAATTGAATGAAAAGAAATCAACTTGAAATTAAACCATTAAGTTCGATCTTAATGTTCGTTGATTGCCTGTGGAAATCCAGTCTCAAGGATGGCCCCAAGGTTCCAGAGAAGGAGAAAACCTCCCCCAGCAATTATGACACATGAGCCGACCTCGCATTCGTCTGTGGTGAGCCAATTTCTGTGTTCGTCTCTCTCTCTCTCTCAACGCTTGTTTGTGTGTGTGTCGATTTTTGTTTGAATTTATTGATTTTCTATTTGTTGTTGGTGGTTTTTTAGGATAAATTTGCTTTGCAAACAAGACCTGTGACACGGGGCTCCACTGCGAGACGTACCTCGCAAACGACAATGTCATGCCGCGGTGTACTCGAATTCAGCCTATCAATCCTATTCAAAGGTTCGTCCGTTGTGAATAATTTGGTGTACGTTTGGTTTAATAATGTTATTGGGAATTTTTTTCAGTACCACATTCTCTAGGTTTTGGTTTTGGTAAGATGAAATTATAGTAAGTGAGAGCCAAATTAAGTCCAAAATAAATATATCTGAGAAATTTTCACACAATATGTTTTCCACCCAAACATAAATCCAAATGAAAAAAGATCGTAGAGCTAAAATCGATTCAACAGACCAAATTAACATGGACTGCTTCATTGGCTCAGGGATCACAAACAGAGGTGCCATGAAAATCAAGTCCTCGAAATTGCAGAGCTAAAGCTGAAACCTTCGATGAGGAATTCCTCTTTGTCGTGCTCTGCAATGCTTTACTACGCTTTACTACTGTCGTTGTTGGTGCGGTAAGTTCGTAGGTAACGATTTATCCTCGCCGTTGCAGTAAAATTACATTTGTACATAGACTTGATTGTGAATGATGTTAACGGCAGTGATTGTGTGCAAACAAACGTGACTATTTTTGTATAGATGTCTGTTAAACAGTGATTATTCCAAAATTCGGCGATAGTGGTGCCATTTTCTGCAGTGGCGTTGTTAAGCGACTACATAAATTGCTTTCAAATGTAAATGTGTGGGGAATAGTAGGTGTTGCAGTAACTACCTGTGTAGATAGACTTGACGGTGAACGATTTTGACGTCAGTGGTTGTGTGTAAATGAATGCGACTTTGTTTTTTATGTCCATTATTGATAATTCTTAAATTTGGAGAACTTAATTCCAGTCTGCATGTCATTAATTGTTTTTTCAACAGGATTAGAACGTTAATGTGAGGCAAATCCTCAAAGGGTGGGTGCACAAGATAACAACTTGAAAATGTTTGAGGTGCTACAGTCATATTTTAGCTGTATGTATAGTTTTCCGCATCGGACTTCAGTACCCTTTTTTTCCCTCAGGTCCATTTGGTTGAAGCAAAAGCAGCCGGGTCATGATTATTCTATTGGATTGCCATCTTGTGATGGGTATTGGTCAATTGGCGCTTGTTATTTTGAATATGAATAAAAGTGCAGGTAGATCACCTGACTTGGTTACACGTCCCGAGTATGTATATGCGGGACAAAGGACTGACTTCATTGACAAGTTTGCAGATAAGCGACAGAATATAATTACTCTGAAGAGCATACCATTTTGCCTGCATTTATACATTATAGCGTGCTAAAATAAAACTAAATAATATATATTTTTGTTATTTTGATTTAATCTTTATACCTTATGACGACAATCTTCATGAACTGTGAGGACGAGCATTATTGTAGGAAAATGAAACTTAGATATTGATGATTCTGTGTGCATGTGTGTGTGTGTGTGTGTGTGTGTGTGTTAATGTGTTTTATCATTAGAAATGTTACTGAAACCATAGGATTGGCTTTGGTGGAACTGACTAATAGTTGGGGGCCAACAAAATAAACTTGAAATGTTTTAGCTATTGTTTGGGATGGATTAATAATTACAAGTGGCTCAGTGATGAGTGACCGTTGGCGTTTCTCAGGACTTGATTGGAAGATCAACCTCGTTAGTCGTTTATTGGCGTTGCACATGCGGCTGACTTTATACAACGCAACAACATTTACAATATTAGTGTAAGCCTTTTGAAATTTCAGTTGGTTACTGCTAATTGTTCTTCAATCTTGTTTTTTCTGCTACCATGAATAATCCAATTTTTATTTGTATCCAAAATTTTGAAAGCCTTGCGACAGTGCTGAAGCCTGAAGGTAAAAGTTCGAGCATTAGAATGTAGTTCCACTCATAATGTAATTGAACATACGGTAGTGATATGTCTTAGATCCGAAACATTTTCACAGACTATTTTTTCTACCCCAAATATAAACCCAAATAAAACAAAATTGGAACTGCTAAAACCAATTCAACAGACAGAAATTAACATCGACTGCTTAATTGGTGCAGGGATCACTAACGACGGTGTTGTAAAATCAGGTACGTCCACAGATCCTTCTCCGATTGGAACTACATCAGCAGAATCGCCAGCCTGCCCATAGACTCACCAAGCAGGAACGACAACAGGTCATTGTACTCTTTACTAACCTTAATGCTCTTAGTAAAATGCAGGGCCGCAGCTGCCGCCTTGTTCAGATCCCCGACGTAGCACGTGATCTGTTGTATCCGTCGTGGCCAAGATATCTCCACCAAAGATGGACAACCCCCAGCCGGTGTAGCTCATGCATTTTTTTTGAAACATCCAACCGGTGTCCGAGCTTTTAGCCATGGTTATGTGGATGTAGCCTTGAACGATTGCGCGGGTTCCAGTGGCATTGAGGAAGGTCTGTTATTTTTGTATATTCACATGTTATATTTTTATTGAAAATGGTATAAGTGACTTTCATATGAATGGCTTCAGTGTGCCTGTGGCTTAATTATTATAGTCGTTTATATGGGATAAAAATGAGATTGAGTTAACTATGTATATGCTTCTGATATAATCTATTGTGTCATCGAGATTAACTTTGGATTTCCTGTGATGAAGCAAGTATTGGAGTTTACCAATGCCCTACTTTTGACTATTTCACTGCTACTTAATGCATTTGAATTTAATTTTGAATCTGTCATTTTGGGTGGTGGCGTATGCTGATGCTTATGTGTTAAATCACTGTCTTCTTTGTTATAAGAGCAAGCACATGTTGATTATTGGATGGTAATATTCAAACTTAGTAAATTCATAAAAGTTAAATATATTTCCTCTTTGTTATAAGTGAGAGCAAGCATATGCTGATAATTGAATGGTAATATTCAAACTTTGTAAATTTAGAAAAGTTAAATATATTTCCTCTGACCAATGAAACAATAGAGTAGATTCAAATAAATATGCACGTATCACTTCATTTCAATAATAATGGGTGCTTAAGTCATTTTTCATAAAATGAACAACATATTTTCAACAACAATGCATAATTCAACAATTACTTATGAGAAAATAGTAATGCGTTTAATGCTTTTTTTTCAACTTTATTGTTGATCTATTGTATGGTCAGAACTAACGAGTGGATTTAAATGATTTTTTAGTTGAATTTTAAAAGTGTCCGACTTTTATCTTTCAACTATAGAGTCGTTAAAAGTAAAATAAAATTTAGGCATTAAGCTAAATTTCTATTTACTGTAATGCCTCAATCCATAGTTGAAATATAAAAGTCATCATTTTTGTTATACAATACAAGAACAAATAATATAGCAAGATAACTACATGCTAAAATTCATACTCAATGATTAACATATTTTTGCATCATATAATTTGATTATAAATTAATTACGCCTTAGTTATAATAAAAATTGAGTCGGCTGTGCTGTGCACAGCCGGGAACAAACTAGTATATATATATATATATATATATATATTGCGGATGGACTGATTTCAATGAGCTTTATTTATAGAACGAGAAGTAATAAAAATAGTGGAAGTAGGGAAAATTGCACCCTTGATCAACTTAGCTGGAAAAGAAAATTGCAGGGGAATCCGCCCTATCTAGCCCTTTCACCTCATTTCAGAAAGTTGT